GTCTGTCTCTGCCTCTCCCTTCCCCTCTGGTCCTCTGGTATCTCTCACGGCGAAGAGGTGGTGTGACCGTCCCCGCGGACCATTCGCTTTGCAGGTGCAACCTATTTTTCAAAATTACCATATATTTAGTATAAATCATGTTATTATCACCCGAATCTTCGTCCCGAAGGCCGTAAAAAAGGAACTCTCTCTCACACACACACACACGCAAAAAGATGGATGGATGGATGTCCGTCCTCTGGTCGGTATAATATCGCAATAAAAACAGCAACAAGAGGAAGCAACAACATTACAACTTTTAGCCCGTCCACCGATTTCTTTCCACACACACACATACACACACGGAACCCCCGACCCCATAGCATCCACGTCGCCCGCCCCCCTTGGCAAAACCAAACAAGGCGACGCGAGACTTCATCACACGCGTGTGCGTACGGCCCGCTCGGACACCGTCACCCCCCGCACTGACCATGGCCGCAACGGCGCCGCGAGGGGAGGGCGCCGGACGCACTTCTACACTACCAGCACCAGCATCGCGCATCATCAAAATAATATCCACAATGAAACACGCCACATCGCATCGATCGCCACATAAGCACACGCCGTCGCCGTCACTCGCAGCATGCAGCTGGTAGCTAGGTAGGTAGCTAGCTAGCCGCAGCTGAAGGTGTGTAGTTGTTGGTCACGCCCTCAAGCCAACGGCGCGCTGGATGTCGACTTCTCGGTACCGAGCCCCCCTCGTCGACCACTCTGATCTCTCCAGCAACCTATCATTGTAGCCATCCATCCCACACACGCAACACATAAAACGGTCGGTGAGACGGGAAAACAAAAAGAAGAAAAAAGACTGAGGTTAAGGGAGGGGGGCTGTGGGCAACCGGTGACCATGTTGAAGGACGGGGAGAGTGTGGAAAGGAGCAACCGCTGTGGCACGAGGTTCCGTTGCCGACAAAAAAAGGCACAGAGCAGTAAGTAGCATAGATACGAGCTCGATTCCCGAATCCCTGGTAGTAGATAATCGCCTCGTCGATACTTGTTGCCTCGGCCTTTTACGTCATCGGCGATCTGCCGCGGAAATGCGGGGTCAAGTTTTTTTTTCCACCGGGACTACAATAGCGTGCTGTAGTATGCAGTCAACCAGGCAAAGGTAAGTTCAAGCATACACAGGCACGCCACGACCCGGCAGCAGCGCTACACTTGCACTACACCTAAACTGCAAGGGCGGATGCGGCAGAAGCAGCAACAGCGGCGGCGGCGGCGGCAGCTGCAGCGACTGGGGCGACAGCACGTGCACACACATACACAACCTTACCTCCTGAGCAGCTCAAGGTAGTCGGCCCTCAGGCCGTCGTCCGCGGGCAAGTTGTACAGCTCCCGCAGGATGATGTCAACCATCACCTTGGTGATGACGAAAAAAAAAAAAAAGACGGGAAAGCACCAACCACACGGGGGCGGGTGTACAGGTACGACTCCAATGTATGTAGCTGGTGCAGGGGGGGGGTGGGGACTAATGTTGTACTTTTTTGCTCGTAGATGGCCAAGTCACGGATATCTTTGGTCTATCCGGGGTGTGTTCTCATAGCCGTGCATGCCGTAGTCGTTAGGCCGTTGACCTCGCATCCTCGAGAGGACGGAGCATTGTTCCCACAGGACCGATCGCCGATGGCCACTCACTCCGTACAGCTGTTCCGTATCTCAGAAACGGTGCAAACAAATCAGATCCATCAGACCCATCCCTGCTGGAACTGCAACGTGTGTGCGGTCGACATACAACCCTGACGACCCACCACAAAAAAGATCAAAACAACCCACGACGAACGGCACGCCATCGTCCGTATGCATAAGAGGGTAAAGTCGCCGACAAAACAATCAACGCCATTCATGCGGATCATTTTTCCAGACTGCGAGTGACGAAGAAGGGATGCAGGCGTGCAATTAAAACCTTGAACATCAAGACAAAAAAAACAAAACCCAAATATATAAACCGAACGTGAATTTACTTGTATCCTTTTTGGCATTTTCGTCAAAACAAGAAAAACACGGATGGTGCATATCTCGACCGTACCGTACCGTGCTCCTCACCTTGACGTCGTTGACGTAGAAGAGGTCCTCACGGCGGTCCTTCTCGAAGGCGTCCGAGCAAAACACCGAGCACAGCCTGGCCAGCTCGGCGTCTCCGTTGGGGTAACCTTTCCAGCAGCAGTCAGATCAACAGCAGCAGCAGCAGCAGCAGCAGCAGAGGAGGAGGAGCCAGAGAAAGCAATGACGATGGATACACCAAGGGCGGGGCAAGCACAACGCGGTACACGTACGCGTAGGGCCGGCTGAGAAGCACGAAAACACACGGCTTGTCGGAAACGATCGTTTTTTTTCATCATAACATCGGAGACAAACTGTGTAGACTGGCGCCAGAGAAGATGGGACGAGACGTCTACGCGAGGGCCACATAACAAAGCATACCCAATGGCGATGGCACTCGCAGCCTTCCAAGCGAAACATAAACCGTACGGGCGGTTTAAACAGCAGGTGGCGGCAACACTTCCTTTGGTGTGTCCGCGACCACCAGTAACACACGCTTCACTCTCACTCGTGCCGCGAACGCGACAAAAAAAGAAACAGGTGAACTTCTGCGGCGAAACGGCCCGGTCCGGTTCGCAACCGCAAACGGAGTCCTACCTCTCTCCCCCCCAAAAAACAGTTACCCCGTCCCCTCCCGCCCTAACCGCCCCAACACCTTTTCTTGTTCTTGTTGTTGATGGCTTCACACTGAAAACTGTTCCGGTCCAACTGACGCGGAACGCCTTCCGTGGTCATAGGCCAGCTACCCGAAAAAAACAAACATAATATAAAAAGCACAAAAACAAAGGACACACACAAAAAAACAAAAATAAAAAAAACATTACAAACGCGACAGTAGAGAACAAAAACAAATTACCTACTCCATATGATAAAGACGTCTTCCGTGGTACAGGCCAGCCACCCAAAAGAAGGGTACACAAAAACACTTCCAACAAAACAAAAAAAGAGAGAGGGACACAAAAAATCGTTACAAACGCGATAGTACACAACAACAAAACACTTCGCAGATAGGACAAATCATTACCTTCTTCGTTAAAGATGTGCAACACTGCTCCTTGCACCTCGTGTCTCGCGAGGTGGTCCAACAGCGCCGGAAGTACCGCGGACGCCGCCGCGTTGTCGCCGTCCACTTCCACCGCCGTCGCTGGATCTGCTGCTGCGCGTGTTGCTTGCGGCGAGCGATGCCGCAGGAAAGGGTGATTCGCGGCAAGGAGGCACTGGGGAGTCGAGCCATCGTCGGCAGACATAACAGAGACAGAGAGAAACAAAGGAGGAAGACAAAGTAGACGTTAGGGCGATCAAAGGGGGGTAGCTGTTGTGCCGTGCACATGCTGCTCTAGTCGTTGCAAGCAAAGGCCTCACGAGCCCTCGTCCCACTTCACCGAAGCAGTATATAGCTCTCACTTCGATACGCAAAGTACCATTCGGCAACCCCATGCACACAAGACACGCACTCTCGACGAACAAACAACACTTCTTGTCGATCGGTCTGTCGGTCTCTCTGCGTATGTGTCTCTCTCTGTCTGCCTCTCTCTCTGTTTTGTTTATATCTGTCTGACTCTCTGTCTCTGTCTGTCTCTCCCATTTAGCTCCACGCAACCTACCCTCCGAAGCCTGACATCCCCATCAACAAGAAGCACTAGGCTCTTACCCGAGTGGCCCCCATGTAGCTTCCCTCCTCTCTGTCCTGGTTGGCGATCAACCCCAGCAGCGACTCCACCAAGTTCGACATGCCACTCCAGCATCGAAAGGCTTCGACTCGACCCTTGCAAACGCCTGGCGATTGGTTCGGCAAGGAAAGGCGCGAAGAACAAGAAGAAGAACAAGAAGAGAGAGAGACCAAAAGAAAAATGTGCCCGCAGGTTTAAGATTCGTCAATATTGTGTAACGCGAATTTCTGGTCGACTGGTGACGACATCCAAGGCAATGGCGTAGCTTGTCGGAAAAATTCAAATTAGCGTGTGAGAGCGAGAGAGAAAGGTGCCGGCAGCCCCGTTAGCGAAGCACAGGCGTTCGGGAGACGACTATAATTTCTCATCGACCACGTCGGAAGGCCACTCAATCAACTCCGTGCCCGAAGGAAAAAAAATTAAGAGAGACAGCAAACAAAGGGGTCTCCAAGGAATCGCTCAGCGGCAGAGGACCATGTCTTGTCGAAATCATCCTCGCGGCTGCCGCCGCCGCCGTCGCCGCCATGCCGCCCAGGCCAATAAACACCAGTGGGGAGAAGACAACATTGTTTTTTCGCATAAACGAACGCCCGTCCATCCAACGCTTTCCTCCATTTTCTTTTGCACTCGCACAAACAATAGCGTCGTGAAAACGTACACAGGGCGAGGAAAAACAACAACAAAAAAAACGCCTACACCGAGCCCCTTACCCGTCAGGATCTCGTAGATCAAGGTCAGGCCCACCGCAGGCAGGTCTGGTTCTCGCTCCTGCCTCTCGTCCTCTCCCCCCGTCCCCTGTCCCCCGCTCCCCTTCCCGAAGAAATACTCGTGCTCGTTCAGCCCCGTCCTCGCCGCCGCCGCCGCGGCCGCCTCGTGGCTTCCGGACAGGGCCACGCAGAGGGAGAGCAGCCGCGCCAGCCTGTTGGATTCCCCGCCGTTCTCCTCGCTCTGGTCGGGTTTGGACAGGTCAGCCCACATCCCGGGACTGATCTTCCCGCAGATCGCCAGGCACTCCAGCGCGCCGGCGCACAGGAGGCGGCACCGTCTGGTATCGACCCCGGGAGCGGGAGCGGGAGCGGCAGCGGTCGAAGCCTGCGGCTCCGCAGCCGCCGCCGCCGCCGCCACCGCCGCGGCCGCCGAGTAGCCGGCGAAGGCGAGGCCCGCGAGGCGACGACACCCCAGGTGGCCGTCCGCGCTCAGCAGCCTCGACCAGGCGTCCGCCTCCCCAACCGAGCCCAGCAGCTCCCGCAGCCTGGAAACCCTCCTGGAGGCGTTGCTCAGAGCCGCCGCCGGATCGTCGGACAAAGAGTCGGCGTCGAAAAACGCCGACACCGCTGCTGCTGCCGCGGTGATGGCGCTCGACGCTGCCCCTGCTGCCGCTGGCGGCGAACCTTGCGCGGCGGCGGCAGCGGCGGCGGCGGCGCTCTCGCCACCGCCTTCTTGGTAGGGAGGCGGCGGCGTACGAGGCCCGCCGCTCGGGGGGTCGGCCGGGGTCCCCGGTGTCCTCTTCCGGCCGCGTGCGCCGGCCCCCCCTACTCCCGTCGGTGCCGCTGCCGCCGCCTGCCCCCGGGCAGGGGGTGGTCGCGCTGCTTCATCCCGCAGTACGACGGAGGGGGGCGACGCCTGCGGCGAGGAGGCGAGGTCGCTCTCCCGCCCGCCGGCAGAGGAATCGGACTCGGTCCCGGCCTCCTCGTCGGTGACCTGCGCGATGTCGATCGCGCACCCCAATGCCTCGGTTAGGCTGTCCAGGGACAGAGACGGGCGGGGCTGCGGCTTCCCGTCGCCGCCGCCGCCGCCGCCGCCGCCGCCACCGCTGTCGTTGCCGCCGTCGTTGCTGACTCCGACAGGGGGTGCCGTGCTAGCAGCACTAGCACTCGTGATGCCACCATCGACGTCCGCCCCCCCCTCTGTTGCCGACGCGCGGCGGTCTTGTCCGGTTCGTCCTGCGGGGCCCCCTCCCTCTCTTGTGGTGGCAGCAGCCGAGAGAGCCGGTGCGGCTCCGATGGTGGGATCCCGGTTGTCGTTCTTCGCCGTGGTTCCCAAGGACATGATGGCGGAAATCTGAGGGACGCGCAGGAGTGTCACCATTGGGCCGGTCAAGTCCATGGACAGAGAGGGGGGGCGGGGCCGGGGGCCGAGGGGGGGGGAGGCATGACAAATTCTGCTTCGATTTGCCATGTGGAAGTGTCAGATACCCGAACTCGACATGCGGAACCGACCGCACATGGCGTTCTCTGAGCCTGTACACAACCTCCGCGATTGGAACGTCAATGCGGAGTAGTTTTCGAATGTGCTAAGAGGGTGACGGCCATACATGCCGAACACAGAGACAAGGAAGAAGGCGGTCCTACATCGAAATTACACATACGCGCGCACGAAAAAAAAAACATCCACCCGTTTCTCATGATAAGCCAGCATGTGCAGCAGCATGGCGTATGGCTGCAAGTTGTGGCGTACCCAGGAGGACGGTATAGCAGGTACTGCCTGCCAGCTTGCAACATCTCGGTTTCCCCCTCACACGCACACAAGAACAAAGGGCGACAAGCTTCTTCGCGTACCTCGTCACGAACTCCTTTGCCCGACAAATCCACCTCGTCCCAGCCATGCTGCACTTCCTCCCCCTCCTCGTCCTCCTCCTTCTCCACATGATCTGACGCCCGCGGGCTTCCACCGCCTTCCACCGCCGGTGCCGCCGTCGCCGCCGCTGCTGCCGCCGCTGCCGCTTCCGCCGCCGCCGCCGCCGCCGCTGCCGCTGCCGCCGCCGCCGCTGTCGCCGCCGCCAGGCCCGAAGCCAACTGGTCGCCATCGGCTCCTGCCAAACCGCCAGTGCTACCGCCGCCGCCGCCGGTGCTACTGCTGTCAATACTGCGGCTCACGTCCTCGACTCCGCGGGCCTTGGCAGACTCTCGCAGCAGGGCCTTGAATCCTTCCACATCTTTCAGTTTCGCCGCGGCGGCGGCGGCGGCGGCGCTGCCGCTGCTGCCGCTGCTGCCGAAGCTCTTGACACTGCGAACCTTGACGGTCTCCCTCAAGAGAGCCTTGAAGCCGTCCACGTCATGCAGCTTCGCCGAGGAGTCAGGTAGCGCCGAGCCTCTCTCCGGCCGTGGCGGGGGTGGAGGTCACGTTATTCAGTTTTATTTCTTGGGAATCTTTTTGGGG